AGAGCTCGTCCAAACTGCTATTTTCAGTTGTTGTATATGGATAGTCATCTGAGACCTGCACAGTGAATAAAGATGACAGAAAGAGAATCGATGCCTTTGGGCTGTGCTGTTGGAGAAGAGCACTGAACATCCCGTGGACGGCCAAGAGAATGAACAGATATGTCTTGGAGAGGGTGCAGCCAGAGTGCTCCCAGAAGGCGAAGATGACAAAGCTTTACGTTACATACATCAGGCATGGAACGAGGAGGGGCTATTCCTCGGAGAGGAACATGATGCTTGGAAAGGTGGAGGGTCAGCGGATGAGAGGAAGACCCTCAACCAGGTGGATTGGCACAGTGACAGCTGCAGTGGGCTCAGATGTGTCAGGAATTGTGAGGACGGCACAGAATAGGTCAGGGTTCAGATCTGTTGCTTCTAGGGTCGCTATGGGTCATACTCGATTTGACGGCACCTAAAACAACTGTGTATAGATGTGGCAGTTAGACTTTGAATATAAAGAAAACCAAAGAAGAATTGATGCTTTCGAACTGTGGGTCTGGCAAAAGAAGAAACAAATCTATCTTGGAAGAAATGCAGTCCCGGTTAGAGGCAGGATGGTGACGCTTCACCTCACATACCTTGGGCATATTGTGAGGGAGAAGCTATCATAGTAGGAAAAGTGAAAGATGCGTGAGAGAGAGGAAGGCCCTGGACGAGGTGGATTGACCCAGTGACCGCAACACGGGCTTGAGCTCAGTTGAGATTGTGAAGATGGTGCAGATGGTCCTGGTTTCCGTCCGTTCCCAGGGTCGCTCTGCATGTTCCATGGCACAAAGCAACAAAAACAAGTTTTCAGAGTGGGTGCCGAGTGCTCTAGGGTGAGGGGGCCAAGTGGAAGGCTGAGGCTTGTGGAGGTTGGAGATCCCTCGCGAAGGCCACACAGCACAGCTGGGGTCTGTGTGTGCCTCTTGGAGTCCAGTGTTGGGACCATCACCAGCTTGATGACATGTCACCTGGAGGTGGCAGCCGGGGTGGTGGCAGCCCTGGTGCTGTGGTGGAGGAAGGAGGACTGGTATGTTTGGTGGGCTTTGCATTTAAGCCTCTTGTTAAGTGCCGGCAGGTCGTAGACAACTCATAGCAACGCTATGAATGGAAGACCTGAACACTTGTATAACTTACGTCATTTCTCCAAGTTTATAGGGTTTTCAGAACCAAGCTATTTCAGAATTGAATGCCACTTCTGCTTCTAAGTTTGTTTTAATCGGGAAGGTCCACCAAACACTGTCCACCATGGGTAACCATTACTGCATTTGACACATCAGTGTCACAGTGTTTAGCATCACAGCTACCAGAAGTTACCTCTGTACAGAAAATGGACAGACCAGGGCTATACCGCTTAGAAGAATGTTTGACCCAAAATAGTTTAAGCCTACAAGCCAGAATTCCTGATGGTCTGGGCTAAATAGGGGGCCTCTCCCACGTTGTAGCCTCAGGCTACTCACCCCGGGCTGGACACACCACCAGTTGCAGCCACCTGCAAAGGTCTCCAAGCCTCCTTCTGCGCTGAGCCTAGAACTTGGTATCTGGCGGCTTCTCCCTTGAGTTTGGTTAAGAGGCAGGTTCCCCAGCAAGCAGAGGGCACAGTCGATTGCTTTGCATGAGATACTCGTGTTTTGTGTTTCCTTGCTAATCTGCAATGAGTGACTTCTGATGGGTTTCGTCCCCCCCTCCCCCGGTGAGGTGGCAGGGGACAGGTGTGACTGCCCTGCAGGTTGGTGGGCAGGCTCACCGGACCCAGGCACTCCTCATCATGTGGCCTGGGCTCATCTTAGAAGTCTCTACACCTTTACTGCACCGTCCGCTTTCTCTGACTGTCCCCTCCGTCTCTCTTCACAGTACTCCCCCAGCATGAGGGCTACCTACCTGTCTGTGACAGACGAGCACCTGAGACACTATGGGACCGAGTATCCAGCCTAACAGCTCCCGGGAGTTCGACCTCACGCGGCCGGGAACCGCAGACACGACCGACCGTGGGGCTGGCTCTGCTGATACCGGGAAGCTGAGCTGAAAGCCTCGCGCGTCCGAGGTCCCTGACCCCAGCCTCGACTGGCGGAAGATCCGTGGCTCACTCAGCCTCCTCCTCCTCTTTTGTCCGGTGCCACCAAGCACTGGCTGCCTCAGAGGTGCTGACCACACACCGCCCCATCATCTCTCCAACAGCCTACCTGGGCACCCCCTGACTCCATGCTCAACAGGTGGGGGCAGAACAGGAAGGAAGGGGCCAACCTCTGGACCAGGCCCTCTCAGGATCCCAGTGCCACGGACCTGGCCCCTGCCAGCTCAGCCAGGCCCAGAATCCGCGTCACTGCTGGCCTGGGTGCCTGGGTGGGCGGCACCTTCCTGCGGGTCATCTGGCTGGGGCTGCAGAGGAAGGGGTGTCTCTGAGACCTACCACTGTCCCTGTGAGGGTCTCCTCTTGGTCACAGAGGGCTATCGGAGAACCCCAGGTGGAGGCTGTTGGCATCTCCAGTGCACCCACTTTGGAAGGTGGGCACCGGCCCACAGGTCTCACCTGTCTGCACCTTCCATCAGTTCTCCCCCCACCCCAGAATGCTCTGCGGCAGGGGCTGTCTCAGGTATTAACAGACACTTTGAAAGCAACTTTTAACTCTTTTTTGTCTGTCTGTAGTTTTCAGATGCAGGTATGCGAAGCCTAATGATCTGTGGTCCCTGAAAGTTTTGCTTTAGTTTCTGTTTTTTAAAGGGAAAGGCAGCCCTCCTCCTGCTGATTATTTCTCCCTTAGAGCTTTAAAGACCCCACCCCCAGACCCTTTTAGCCCTCGGCCACAGGTGGGGACTGGCAGGTGAGGCGGAGGACAGGGCTCCAGGTGTGTGTGGCAGGCAGGTGGGGTGGGGGCTGGGCTGTTCCTGCCACTCAGGTGGGACGTGGGTGCACCCCGGCCCCTCTGTCCTGGGCACAGTTCCTCTTGTTTCCCTCCAGTGACAACCAGAAGGACTAAAAGCTGCCTCCTGTAAGGTTTCCATGTGATTTTCATACAGCGTCCAGATCACACTTCCTGCTTCTGGGGACGTTCAGTGATGTGTATCTGCACCTCGATTATCCAAAGACCCGAGGCCCAGATCCCACCCGATTTCACTGTGGGTTCAGCACTCATTCACCCTTGGGTCTGGGCACCACCACTCGGCCAGTTCTTAGGGCTTCCATCAGGTCTTGGTGGACGTGAAGATGGGGCCGGACGCTCAGACAGAGCTCTGTGTGTTAAGTGGAGAGCTGGGTCATCCCAGAGGAAGGACAGGCTGAGCTGAACAGCATGACCTGTTCTTGGGGGTCAGCTGGAATGCCCAGGCCCCTGTCCCCTTCCTCTAGTCTGCACGTAAGCTTGGCACCTAGGGTTTTAGCAAGAGCAGGGACTGCTGTCCAAAAGGAGAGAGGACAGCTTGAGTCTCAGGCCCCGATCGGATCTGGAAGGTGGAAATGACCTTGGCAGCCAGGAAGGAATAATGGCCCACTGTCCTGCCCTGCAGGGGATCCAGGGTGGGGGTCTTTGGTGCTTCCAACCTCCTGCCAACTCGGGGCCCAACCAAGAGCCCGCTTCCCCACCTCACACACCAAAGCAAGCCTACAGGTGCCATGGTTTGGAAGAAGACTCACTACCTGTTTTCAAAGAGCCACACTGTCATCGAAACACTGACTGGGGTAGGCTCCTTGCCAGACCTCTTCGAGGGAGCCAGGCCTGTGACCCTCACTCCCATTAACCTGTGCAGACATGTACCATAGCCCACCCTTCCTTCATATGCCCACAGCGTGTGCAGGTGGGCACTCCGGCAACGTCGAGGCTGCCAGTTTTAACATGTCAGTCATTGTTGGCAACTAGAGAGGTGCTTTTACTGCATGTGAACGGAACTAAAGTTCCTAAAGAGCCAGGGGGGCAGATGTCTGCTCCTCACCTGTGTCGCCTCACCCAGAAGAGTAATAAACCACTTTACTAAATGTGCATCCAGCCTCTTACGCTGCCTCAGCGACAGGGAAGGAGGTGGGTGGGTGGTGGTGGGCTGGTGGTCTCTTCTAGGGTGGTGGATGGTGGTGGTGGTCTCTTCCAGGGTGGTGGTGGTGGTGGTGGTGGTGGTGTGAGCCCACTGTTGACCTGTCAGTTCCCACTTAAGATCCCTCTCCATTGCATTTGTTAATGGGAGCAGATTGCCTCCTCCAGTAACTTCGAACATCTGACCTTTCAGTTATCAGCCAAACATGTCTGCCCACCAGGGCTCAGTGGTGAGCGTAACCAAATCAAACTCACTGTCGACTCAGTGGACCTCCAGGGAGGTGTTTTGTTGTGTGTGGTTTTTTAAAAAAATTTATTTTATTATTTTTTGTGCATGTACTGTCAAATCAGATCTGACTGGTACAGGAGGAGATTGCCCCTCCTTCTCCAGCAGAGCATATGGTGGATTCGAACCATGCACCTCTGGGATTGCAGTGCGAAGGGAGGTTTTTAAAGTCATACATCTTTATGGGAGACTACCCATCTTTCTCCTGAGGAGCAGCCAGTGGATTCGAACAACTGACCTTTCAGTCAGCAGCCCGACACACCTAAGTTTCCTGGTGGTGGCCACATAGTGTCGCTTCCAGTGAGATGGATGAGACCACGGGATACAGCTCACAGCGTCCACCTGGCCTGCAGCAGGACCAAAGGCAGGTCTCACTTCTGCCCATGTCTTTCTCTACATTCCTCCTGAAAGCCATGCTCTTTTATTTTTTAAAACTTGTATTAATTTTAATGAACATTTACAGAGATTTTGGATTTCCATTCATTCATTGTTGCACTTTTCTCCCTGCCCACCTCTCCCCCCCTGAAGGCCATGCGCTTAATGTTCTTGGTAATGTTAGGTGATGTCAAGGTGTACCCACCCCATGTGACAGAGGACAGCTGTCCTGTAGTCTCCTGGGCTACAGCAATCGTGTGAAACCTGTACCTAGACGAGAAACTGTTGTCCAAACAGAACAAGAGAACACTACATGATTGAAAATCAGGAAAGGTGTGCGTCAGGGTCGTATCCTTTCTCCATACCTCTTTAATCTGTTTGCTGAGCAAATTTTTCCAGATGTTTCACTACATGAAGAAGAAATATGGCATCAGGATTAGAGGAAGACTCATCCAAAACCTGCATTATGTAGATTACATGACCTTGCTTGCTGAAAATGAAGAGAACTCGAAGCACTGCAGAAGATGATAAAAAAAACCAACACAACCCTCCAGCATTCAATATGGATTACATATTAACATCAATGAAAACAAAAATCTTCACCACTGGGCCAATAGGCAGCATCATGATAGATGGAATAGGACTGAAGCTGTCAACGACTTCATTTCACTTGGGTCCATGATCAAAAACCGTAAGAGAAACAGTCAGAAAATCCAAAGGTGTGCTGCATCGGGAAAATCTGCTGTCAAGGACCTCGCCAAAGTGCTAAAGAGCAAATATATCCATTTCAAGACTAAGGTGAGCCTGATTCAAGTCAAAACTAGGTATTTTTAATCGCTTCTTATGCATTTGAAAGTTACACATTTGCACATTTTCCTCCCTGGAAATCCAAAGTCTCTGTAAACTTTCATTAAAATAAAAAAAAAAAGACTGTTCGCCCTCAATATGTGAGGAAATAAAAGGGGTTCACCTCTGGACAGATTTCTACCCTTCTCAGGAATATCTGGAGAAGAGAGAGTAGGGGAAGATGCTCATGCTACTACACAATTCTTCCCCACACATACACCCCCAAAAAAGAAAGTTATGCAGTATAGAAAGAAGACCTAAGAATCGATGCCTTTGAACTGGGGTGTTGGAGAGGAGAACTGACTATCCGACCGCCTGCCAAAAGAAACAGGTCTGCCTTGGAGCAAGCGCTGCCTGTGTGCTCCATGGAGGCAATGATGGTGCATAGTATCATTTTTACGAGTTTTGTTCCACATTTTCACCTGCTCTGCCCAGGACCCTCTCCTGTGATCCCTTCAGAGCGGTCAGCACTGGTCGCCGGGCACCATCTAGTATCTCCGGTCTCGGGGTCATGGAGGACGAGGTTCTCCTGGTCTGTCAGACCTTTGGACCAACCATGCACGGGTGCTTGTCTTCCTCTTTGGTCTAGTTATAACCTGGGACCAACACAATTGAATCCATAAAAGCCTCCCAGGTGTTGCCGGCTGGTCTGCCTCACCCTCACCTTCTAGAACATTCTCTGACCAGCAGCCTGACTTCCAGGCCCAAGAATGTCCAGCTGTGGTAAACGGCGGGGGGGGGGGGGGGGGGGGGGGCTGGAGCTCAGCTTGGTCAGGGGAGAGAAAGCCTAATGAACTCATGCCATCGTCTTCAAGGTTCAAGGTGGAACCTTGGCTGGGGTCCCATGCTGCATCCATGCTGCCTAAAGCTGACACACTGCCTGACATCTTGGCCCAGGCTGTGCTTTGAACCTCAGAGCTGGGAGGTCTTAGATTTAGAAGAAGCAGAGATGGCATCACCACATCATTCCTGTTGTTGTTATGTGCCGTTGATTCGTTTGCAACTCATAGCGACCCTATGTACAACAGCCCTAAACCCTGCTCTATCCTGTGCCAATCGCATTGCTTCTGACACACCCATCCCGATTACCCCAGTCACTGAATCAGTCCACCTCATAGAGGGTCTTCCCCTCCTGCGCTGTCCCTCTACTCCACCCAGCATGATGTCCCTCTCCAAAGACCAGTCTCTCCTTACATGTCCAAAGTATGTTAGATGAAGCCCCAGAATCCTTGCCTCCAAGGAGTAGCCTGGTTTAATCCTCTCTAGGATGAAGCTGTTTTCTTGGCAGTCCATGGTACATTCAATAATCTCCAGCACCACAGCTCAAAGGCATCAATTCTCCTTCTGTCCTCCCTAGTCATTGTCCAACTCTCTGATGCATAACAAGCGATTGCAAAGACCATGGC